GACACCGAAAGCAAACGAAAAAAACCAATTGCCTAAGAGACATTTGAAAATGTATATGGAGCTAGTTGGATAGGATACGGCTGGAGCGATCCACAGCAGAAGTAGAAGCAGAAGCAGCCATAAAGAGCTTTTACGACCGCCACTAGGCGGCAGCTCGAATGATAAATAGTCTACTGTGGCCAGTTCTGGTCTCGTGGTGCCTGCTGGTCGACAAGTTTTCACTACCAGAGATCGATGCACCACCATCACCAGACTGACCAGGCCCGAGTGGAGTCGGAGGCGCGCATAGATTAGACAATTTGTAGAAAAGCTGCGGAGCCGTTTCAGGCTTTGCCTGGAAGCGCCACTCTGGTGGTGGCAGAGCCAAGGCACGGGCTATCGGTCCATTCGGAATGCCATGTGGCATACCTGAGCCGAGAGCTCTTTACAGTTGCCTCGTGTTAATTGAAAATTGTACGGTAATGTTGCTTATCGCTTGGCTATCAGGCGATGTCGTCGTCGTCCCAAGTATGGGCTCTGTCTCTGCTCTATGGGTTGGGGTCTGGGTCTTGCGTGTAGCATGGATCCGTGCGGCATGCTTGGTGCCACACCTCGAGGCCTCACGCATTGGCAGAGGTGTTTGATAAACATCCCAAGTCATGTCTTAGGTTTTTTTTAGGTTTATTTTTTATGTGGCGCTCGCGGTGAAAATTTCTCAAACGCTTTTTGACAACTTTCATGTGAACGCACTCAACAAAATTTATCGCCTCGCGCATTATTTGTGGCTTTAATTGCTTAAAGACGTTAGGAAGCTGTACTCAAGCTTCTTGACATGCTTCTTTCGGGCCAGACGCGGACACTGACACCTGCGGCCCAGCTGGGGCTCAGCCTTTTAAGCAGGGCTTTAAACGCGTTGCCAGTTGACACGATTCGCGGATTAATTGCTTTTACAAAATGATTGATCACATTCAGTTATATTGACTATAATTATGTCTCTTATTGGAACAAGTTCTTTAGGTTCTTTTTCGAGTTTATCGGGTTGTTCCCAGAAAGACGCATAAACGTTTTTTTTAAAATTCTTACTTCAATTTCAGTTCCGACATAGTTCTTCATTCATTTCAACAAATTACCCGACTAAAATGCTTGTTTTTAAAAAAAAAAGAAATATAATTGAAAGACTAATAGGCCGGAGCTTAAATACCCTTGAACAGTAAAGCTCGTAATTCCTGAGCTTTCCATGTAAAATCTGAATTTTTGTGTAATTCTTTCTAAGAAACTATAAGTTAAAGAAGTTCGATATAAGTTAAGAAATACCTAGTTTGGGAAATATATCTTGATAAATGAAACTGATCTTCATATTGGAACTTAATTTTCAATGGTCGGCTATATAATATAGTCGTTGGATCAGACGGAAAATGCAAGAAAATTGCGAATATAGATAAAGTTTCATGACGAAGGCTAGAAGTTTCCCAACTAATTAGTTGGTGAATAGGCAATATAGGCTCGGGATTTTTATACGGAATCTGTAATATATATGTATATTTCATGACAGAGCTATAATATTCTCTCGAAGCGTATAAAAACAGCATTTCATAAGCATTTCTGCAGATCCGTTATCAGTTTGCTACCCGATTTTAGGTTTTTGTTGGACCAGTCGGGTTGTGGCCACGGTGTTAACAAGATAAGCATCCTGTGGCCGTCGCCGGAACGCCATCAGTATTATGACATTTTGGTTGATTGCCCGCCTCATTGTCGGCCTTGTTCGATGGCCAAGTTCTAGGGAATTGTGCGTGTGGCCGGCCAGGCAGCAGAAGAGGGCCTCACGAAATATTCAGACTGCAACTTTTATTGCCTGTTGCTGTTTCTTCAATCTGATTTATATGCCCGGTTCTCAAAAGCAAAGCCGCTCATTTTATGACCCGACTTGGCGGCCGTCAAGCTGGACCCTCGAAAACAGAAGCCAGCCTGGAGCTGGGAATTTAATTGCGGCCTGCACGTGTGCTCTGCTCTGAATTGGTCTTTCCCTTTGAGGATTCCATATAATATTTTAAAGCGAAAAATGTATAACTACTTAATGTCTTATTTGTTGACAATATTTAAATGAATTCAATTGATTGACAAACGTAGCTGAATGATGAGAGATTTTTTAGATCGAAGCTGCTTCTCTCCTTCATCGCCGTCTCGGTGACAGGGACGCCTTGCCCCTCTTTCGACGGGACATCCCTCTATACTATTAAAACACAAACTCAATTAAAAGTAAAAATAATTTCGATTTCTAATTCAATTAGTTAACCTAATATGCAAATTAGTCAAGCTAAAGTTATGGATAATAAATAAGACCTGGCATTTTCTACATGCCTGTAAGTCAGCGCATTTTCAAATAAATTTTCCACTTGTTGTTGTGGCAATTAATTTTCGCACTCGTTACGACAATTTCGCGGGACAACAACAACAACAAAACAACAACAAGTTTTAGTTAATACCGAGCATGGAAGATTTGGAATAAATGTTGGCGGAGTGGAAAAAAATTAATTGCATGTTTTGCATAATCAGTAAATTGGTCGTTTATTTTAGTACTTAATTTGCTAGCAGCACGAGGTGCGCCAACCCAGGCAGCCCCCGTCCAAGGAGCCTGCCATATGCACACACTATAAATTATGACTGCAGTCGAGTGCTCACCCCCCCTCCCATCTGCAACAGATCCCTCAGCCTCTTACTCTAAGAGCCCCTTCGATGGGTCCAAATAAAAAACATTTTTATTTACAAATCAGATAAGAGATCTGAGATCACAGCAAGCAGCTTAAACCATTTGTAGATATGCAGCCAGGAGACTCCGCCGGGTTACTGGATACCCTGGATACTCTCGCTAATCGTAATATTTATCGGTCGCGTGTGCTTGTTACCTAATTGATGACAACAGGTAGGCGCTTCTGTCAACCCGGTGAGAGAATATGATTGCAGCGAGCTCATCTGCAAGATATCTCTTATGATTGTCGGGCACGCACAGCCAAACAGCGGGCGGCAGCAGTTGTCCCACTGCGACCAAGTCAGGAACTACAGATTGAAGTGAAATGTGAGAGAGATATACATATTTTAAAATAAAATATGAAATATATTTGTCTGTCTTTTTGCCCGTTAGATAGAAACTTCAGTTTTTTAGAAAAATAAACAATTTTTTGAGTTCTAAGTTATCTTAAGCAACAATTTCTGATTCCTATTATCATATAGCTTTTAAAGGAATAATTTTTTGCAGCTTGACTATTTATATGCCAAACATATTTTTCCAAGATATCTCAATCACATTTTAAAATTACGAGTTATACATCTTTTAATATCATATCATATCCATAATATCATATGATTTCCAATAGAACAATTGGTCGGTACATGAGTTTTTGTAGTAAATATATTTATATTTTAAATAATTGAAAATTTCAAGCAATATGTGAATCTTTCAGTAGCATCATATCACATCATATTATCTCCGATCTCTCATAGCTCCTAGGGAACACTTGATCGCAACAGTTTTGCATATGAAAATCTTTTGTTTTTCCAGCATAATACAAGCTATATGTGACCGTACTCCTTTTAATCTCGTATCATATTTTATTATATAATATCAAATTCTATCATATCAAATAATTAAATCCTAAAAGTTTCAGTCAAATATATTTCATAATTGCCATAGAGTTATGGGAATTCTGAAAACTCCGCTCTTATGTTTCTTTCAAAATATGTGTGGCTATTTGTTGGTATTCCTATTTTTTAAGGATCAGGAGCTAGAGCCGACCAAAACCCAAGACATTGCGTGCAACCAAATTGAAATATAGAAAACTTGAAGTTTCCAGGCTTAACAAACCCTTTTAAGCCCTGGGCCGTGGCTTGGCATGAATCTTAAATATGCTTTGTTCTTTAACAATTGTTGAACAATTGCATTTGCTTTGTAACGGCTGCTTAGAAAATTCAATTGCAGTACTGATTGTATACCCTTTCAGTGAGTTGCTTGGCAAATGCATTAATCATGACAAGGAATTGAATTCCCTTTCGCTTTGTTGTGGGCAGCTTCTTGTGTGTCTCATTTTGGGTGGCATTTTGCGCGCAGACAGAGAGCCAGCGCTTAGCAGAGCTGGTCTTAGGGGGAGGTGGAGACGGTTTCTTCAATTCCTGGGAATGGCACCTACAGACTGGCTGCAGCAACACCTACAACCAAATTGAAACGACAAGACACAGACACAAGTGCCAGCAAGCAGCACAGAGGAACACACAGCGGGGATGGTGGAGTGGAGGGGATGTCAGTCGGAGGCAGGTTGAGTGGCTGCAGCTTGATCTGGTTGCAGTTTTAATCAATGAATAATTTAAATATTCTGATTAAACAAGCTGCTGCTGCTGCTGCTGCTGCTGCTGGCTGCGGACATTTCTTTTAATTCATTGTAGACAGCGGAGCATGGGTGGCGCTCTGTGGTGATTGAGGGTAGGGCGGGAGCTCGGCGCAGGCAATTGGAGCACCGCAGCCAGTTGAGCAATCAACACCTTTCCGGCTGCATTTCAGACAGTATCTGTTGCTGGGGCGCACATGTTCGATGCAAATCAACTTGCGAACCTGGGCGGGCCCAGAGACCTGGGCTATCTCCGAAACCCTGCCATGTGTCAGTTCCGGCCTGATTGGAGGCCGGCTAATGAATCATTTTGCTGTGCCTCGCCAGAGTGTGTGGCAGCGACGCAAATTAATTATGCACACCTCCACGTTTTCTGGCTGGTCTTAGCTTCTCCTGGAATCGCATGTTGAGGTCTTGATCTTTGGACTACTGTGTTAATTGTTGGCTCTGTTTTTTTGGCGCTGACTACCTGAACCGATTTGATCCTCAAATGGCTTTATTATTATTATTATTTATTTTTTTGGCCAGGATGTGCCGTTGGCGCCCCACTCCAGCTGCGTCCGCCTTTGGCTTTTGTTAATTGGACCACCCTGCAAAGCCGCACAACGTGACAGGATTTGAATCTTGGTGAATTTTATATTAAGCTGCTGGTTTTAATTTGCATGTGAGCTCACCGAGTCGCCCTGACAGGTTAATCCGCATGTTAACTCATTAGGCTTTGTTCTCGCCCTGGCACAAAATTCTGATTAAATGCGGTAGTCAATTCCATTGAACTGGCTGGGAAAACAGTTTAGGTTTGAAAACGGTTTATTCGAAAGTTTTACTTTAGAATCAAACGAAAGTCTGGTTTGCAACCGGAGCCATCAAAAAACCTAAATTGAGTGGAGACCAACTCATCGCAGCTGGTTTTAACAAGAACAAACAAACTATGTCACATTTTATGAGCTGCCAGTTATCAGACCCTAAGCTTGGCTAGCTTCACAAGCTTATCTTGCTTTATGGAACGACCTTGTTAACTATTATATGCGGTCAGACCGCCCACAGCTATCGCCCCGATAAAATTCTAATGAGCCCAAATACAATGTATAAAAACCCCCAATGCTTAGTCGAAGCCAAACAGTAGAGGGTACTAATCCCAAAGCACAAGAACAACATGGAAGCTCGATGGAATTTGGTCTTGCTATTGCTCGGTCTACTGCAGCTCACAACTGGCAACCCCGTGGGCAACGTAATAGATTGTAAGTGCAAGAATATAATAACATGTGAGCAGCCTTACCTAGTCCATACACACAGTGGATGCATATTTTGAGATGGCGAACAGCAGCTCGCAGGAGCGAGTGGTGGGCGGCTACGATGTGCCCGACGATGAGTATGTGCCCTACCAGGTGTCCATGCAGTTTCTAACACGCAGCGGCAAAATGCGACACTTTTGCGGTGGCTCCTTAATAGCGCCCAACCGGGTGCTCACCGCGGCGCACTGCGTCAATGGGCAGAATGCTAGCCGGATCAGCGTGGTTGCGGGCATACGTGATCTTAATGACAACACCGGCAATCGCGCCCTGGTGCAGTCGTATGAGATGAATGAGCACTACGAGGAGCTGGTGACCAGCGATATAGCCATACTGAAGATTGATCCACCCTTTGAGTTGGATGGCAAACGCGTGGGCACCATCGATGTTAGCAGCAATGAGCTGGTTGGAGCTGATCAGGAAGTGCTGCTTACCGGTTGGGGCTCTGTGTTTCACTTTGGCACCGGACCCTTTGCCAAATACCCGACCATACTCCAGAAACTCTCCTACAAGACGCTCGACAATGCCAAGTGTAAGCAGACGATGACTCAGCTGACGGATACGGAGATTTGTGCGCTGGAGCGTTTTGGCAAGGGTGCCTGCAATGTGAGTAGCGAAAGGCTGGATAAGTTTAAATCTGACTGAATCACTCCTCGACTTATTCTTCCTGTGCAGGGCGATTCGGGCGGTCCTTTGGTCATGGCCAACGGCGAGTCGCTGAAGCAGGTGGGCGTCGTCTCATATGGCACTGCCTTCTGCGCCTCAAACAGTCCCGATGTGTACACTCGCGTCTCCATGTTTGATGCTTGGATTAAAGAGCGCATGGCTTAGGCGGTGCATGCCCACACCATACATGACACATACCCTTACTACTAAAACAAAGCTGACAAAATAAATTAAAGTTCATTAAATTAAGGCAGTTGCTCAATTCAAGCAGTATGCAAAGAACGCAAGCAGTGCACAATATACTACAATTTTTTGCTGCATACTTTTAAGCTGACGCAAAATTGCCGTTAAGCAGTGCGGATTATGGTCAAATATTGGCAGAAGAATATTATTTAAAATACAAATTCACATTTATTTCGTTTTTTTTATATATCTACGAAATCTCTATATATAGAAAATGGATCGCGACGTTTGCTTATTGATAATATCAAAGGTCTATTTCCACTTCTTTCCTGAACTAAATAGCCTTCAATGGCTGGATCAGAGTTCTCTATGTCGTTGTTCTCTTCGCTATTCGTTTCATACTCGTCTTCTTGATCTTCAAACTTTTCATCGCTCTCCTTAGCCTGTTCGGCTGCATCAGATTTTATTTCTGCGGAGTCGTGCCTCAGAGAATCTTTCATTTGCGCCGCATCCTCTTCAGGCACCTCCACAGCATTATCTTCGACTTCTTCGCTTCTTATATCCTCCTCTTCATTTCGCTGCACATTTTCCGATTCAGTTTCAGAAGAGTCTGTTGTAATTTCTTGTGGCTGAGCAGATTCCAGGGTATGGAATTTCCTTACTCCGGGATCAGTTGTCATAGGTTTCCTTGTGGGCCTGTGGGGCTTGTGAGGCCTATGGGGATCATGCGGATCACGAGAATCATGCGAGTCATGCGGATCATGTGGGTGATGCTCTCCTTTATGATTGTGATCGTGCGGCTCATGCTCATGCGAGTGATGCTCTCCTTTATGATGATGATCGTGCGGCTTATGCTCGTGGTGATGATGGTGATGATGGTCTCCCTTATGAGATGGATGTCCGTTGTATGGCGGTAAAGGGTAAGGGTAAATGATTGGCGGCGGTTGGTGATGATGTGGAGGTGGTGGTATGGGCCATGTGGGCGATGGTGGTCCTGGAGGTCCTGGCGGTCCCGCTGGTCCTAGAGGGCCTGGCGCTCCCGGTGAGCCCGGAGATCCCGAAGAGCCTGGTAATCCCAGAGGTCCCTGAGAACCTGGTGAACCTGGTGATCCTGGTAAGCCTGGTGTTCCCTGGGATCCTTGGGAGCCTGGCGGTCCCTGAGAACCTTGTGGACCTGGAGCTCCAGGAAGGCCTTGAGGTCCTTGCGTACCTTGTGGTCCCTGAGCTCCTTGCGCACCGGTGTGGCCCTTGTCGCCCTTCTCTCCTTTGTCGCCCTTCTCACCCTTCTCGCCCTCATCACCCTTGTCACCTTTCGACCCTGGATATCCTGGTTTTCCTGGATCGCCTATACAATTGCATTGCAAGATTAGAGCCTTAAGATTGTCATTGTCAGGAATACATACCTGAGTGTCCTGGAGGACCTGGTGGTCCAGGTGGCCCGGGCGGACAATTACACTTTGTCGAGGGATAATGATGATGCGGTGGCGGTGGCGGGTAGAAGTGTGGCAGTGGCAGCGGTGGTGGCGGTGGCGGGTGATAGTGAACGGGCCGTTTAATAATCACATTCGGCGGAGATGGCGCAGGAGCGGGTGTAGGTGCCGGCAACTGAACTGAAAGATGTCTGCCAGCATTTTTGTTGTTCTGATTTCTGGTGGACAAGCTGATGCCGCCAGAGATGGCCAGTGCTGCGAAATGGTTGAGATTGCAGGATGGAAATATTATATCGAAGATAAAGGCCACTTACTTAGGCAGAAAAGCGTCGCGAGCTGTGCCATGGCTAAAACTAATTTGCTGGGATCGACAAGTAATTGCTTTCTTTTATAGCAAAGAAATGGATCGGTTGTAGATATGCATAACATATACACACAAATGAGATCATTTTCTGAAATCCAGATTTGAAGGAACCGTTAAGCATAATATACGTCAAGATATCTTATTTTAATCGTCATCTTTTACTATCTTACTGTTCTTTTAATAGCAGCCTCCACATATGGTCGCCTCATCGTCCCACAATTAATATGTATAAATATGCTCTGGACTCAACTCGATTGGAATCGAAACCAAATGTTTTCATATGAACATGGGGATTTTTGGCATTAGTTCATCAAAATAATATTTATGTATTTATATATTTTCTTAAGATGTTAAACCCACACCTCTTGAACGTCATTAATTTGCCAAGGAACGAGAATGTGTAGTAACTTTTGCTGATTTGAATATATATATTTATGAACTTTGCATAATAAGTTACACGAGCTCTTAGTTCTTTGTTTACTTTTTTGTTGACTTCACAAATTGATCATAAAGATTGAATTTAATGGACTGAAGATTCGTCTAACAACAATGCAAAGTCGCGTGCCTAATAACCTAGATAAAGGTCAGATCTCAATGAAAACAGAGAATGGGATAGCTTTTAAAAGCCTCAATGAAATTAAAATTTAAAAATGAGTAATTCTAACAAATATGAATATAAATTGTGTATAAACTTAGTCATTATTAATGAATCTCTAGTAAATAATAGATGACATGTTTGTTTTCTTGTCGTATATTAAGTAATGCTGCAAGCTTCTCCCTTACGATTCTAAGTTATACAAATGTTAGGAGAGTTAACTAGTCTGTGTTTGGTATATATTGCCTTTTCAACAGCTCCAAAAAAATTATAATAACCATAACAAGAGAAGTTTTCGAATGGTAGTCGGGAATTCTTAAGGGAATCCCAAGGGGAATTCTATCCGAAAATGCAACAGTTATTAAAAAATTTTTATATTCTGTGTATGTGTATGTTATTTAAAAACTTACAAACTAAATACTGCCGTTTCTAGCTTTTATAATCCTCGAGATGTGTTCAAAAAACCGAGTCTGGAAATCGATACTGATCGATTTCGTGAATGAGCTATGGGTAAATTCAATTAAACTTGAGTTTGAGGCTTAAAAAATTGAGAGCCTCGAAATCTTAAGTTTTTTAGTGCTAACCGTGTCTGAGATCGATTCGTTGAAGGTCGATCAGGTATTAATACTTTATAGGGTCTGTTTCTGTTTCCCTAACAAGAGTATATATAGATTATATATATTATATAGAGTAATAATAAAAATATCTATAGAGTAATATACATATATAGATTATATATTAATAATATTCTGATAAAAACAACAATATAAGCAAATAAAATCCAGCAAATTATTTTTAGCGGGTTTCAAGTAAATTTTGTTTATTTCAGTCAAGCAGTGCAAAAAGTCTAACAGAAAGTAGTTAAAAATTTGTATCCTGAATGTCAGAGAGCTCTGCAGGCTAATCTTATCGTATCTTTTTTATCATCCAATGATGCGTCTTTGGATTCTTTTCCAATTCGTATGCCTTTTACAATAGAGTAATTGTTTTCGTCCTCAAGCGAATCGAAGCCCTCGTCTAGGGACAGAGTCACCAAGCGCGCATCTCCATTCAGGCGAAGTAAACTTATGCCTGGTGGACCCGTGGGTCCTGGTGGGCCTATGTCGCCCGTATCTCCCTTGTCTCCCTTTTCGCCAGGTTCGCCTGGGGTACCGGCATCACCCTTGGGTCCAACTGGACCAGGACTGCCGGGAGTGCCCGGATTTCCGGGTCTGCCCGGTCTACCTGGACGACTGGGCGGGCCCGGTGGACCCGGCGGGCAATTACAATCAATTCCAGGTGGGGGATAGAGATAAACCGGCGGCAAGTATTTCGGTTCTCCTTTGTAGCCTCCACTCGATGAGCTCTGCTCCGGCACATGAATAGCAATTGTTCTGCCGGCCGCCTCTTGGTAAGTTTCGGCAGAACTGATGCCGCCCAAGTGGACCAGACCTGGGAGGAGGAATTTGTTTTATTCAAAATTGTTTATTTGAGCATTCTTACCTAGGCAAAAGAGCGTTATGCACAGTTTCATGTCCAAATCGCAAATGTTATGACGATCAATTAACTGATTCCTTTTATACGAAACCTCTCCATTTTTAAACCCAACAAAATTTATTTATGCTCATTTTTATTGCGAAATTTCAAACTCAGTTCTTTCGAACTGAATGCTGGCGAGATTCCCAGTTTCATGAAACCGTTAAAAGCTTACAGTTGTTTCTATTCCCTTGTATTTATTTTTCTATTCCCTTGTGAAGAGTATGATGCATTGGGCATGCTTTTTGTGTAGAAGGCTGAAAGGAGATATACGCATCAAGTATATATAAGCTCTTGATCAGATCAGATCAGATAAAGGATGAAGCAGTCGAAGGATAAGTTATTTTTTCAATGTGACAAAATATTGTTTATTTTCGAAATATCTTTACGAAACTCATCCACATATCTGCAAAATCGTAAGCCAATATTGTCAAAAGGGTATTTAATCTTCCACATAGCAAAGATAATATTTACTTCTCGTTATTCTATGCTTAAGAATGTTAAGACGCATATGTGCATATATTAGCACATAATTTAATTCCTGAACAGCATGACGCAATCCGTGGAGTACAATACACTCGAGAATAGAGTAAAATAAATTATATAATATAATAAAATTAAAATCTATTTGTTCCTGATGTGCAAAAAAAATACTTTCCCGAAATATGTTAAAATATCCCAGTTCCAGACCAAAGATATAATCAGCGTCAAGGAATTGTGGCCAACTTGAATGGCATCTGCTTACTTATGCATATTGTCGCTTATGAGCTGGGATGGGTTAGACTCTTTAGTTTTTCTCTAAATTCGCGAGCTGATTTTGTGAACCGCAGACTGATATAGTGACAACTCAGTTTTATAGACCAGCATTCGGGAGCCAAGTTGAGAACTGGCCTACTTAGGCTATCGAATGCTAATGCGAGAAGCATAAAAAGATGTCTAAAATCCAAAGACAATGTGAGACGTATTAGGTCAATATTAATGGAAAGATAATATAAAACTATTTCGGGAATTTATTGCTCTGCTTGACTACACTGAGAGAAAGAGTAGAATGTGAGAATAAACGAAAATCAAGTTATAAGCAAAACAATACTATATAGAAGAGAAGCGGACAAAATTATAGGAAATGTTGACACAGGTTCCAACCAAAATCTCTGTTTATAAAATTAAAAAGACTGTTTTAAGTGAACCAAGCCAACGGCAATATTTATTTGGTAGGCAGCTCTGTGAAGAAATGTAAAATGTTGACAACGAACTGTGGAAAGTACGAGAGGAAACTTAAGACGAGAACTGCTCATTGAGCCATTAGATCTTGGAGTCTTGCCAATTAATTATTTGCCCCCAATGAAGCTCTGACAATTCCTCATGCAATTCGCCTTAGCTAGCCCACAGACTAGCTGTGAAAATTTGTTTTCTGGGTTAGGGTGACGTTTGAAGCATATGCCAATTACCGCCATGAAAGCTCGTTAAATTTTTAATTTCAAGATCAAAATAAATGGCATAACCGCTGCGTTATCTATGCAAATGCAACCCAATGGAGGTGGGCTTCAATCCTATAAATAGCCTGCGGCATAGACCGTAACTTCAGCAGAAACCAGACCAAGCATGTCTATAGTCGAACTAGTTTTGTTAACAGCTGTGATGCTAGGTGACGCCACGGCGCGTTCCAATTGTAAGTTGAGGTTATGAAAAATGGTCGAAGCAATTCAATACTTTACAACACTTGCCAGCAGCACGCCGGACCAGCGGCTTTACGCCCACACGCGTCGTGGGCGGCTCGGATGTGCCGCATGGCGACTACGTGCCCTACCAGGTCTCGCTACAGTACAGAGTTCGCGACGGACATGTGCACTTCTGTGGCGGCTCGATTATAGCCCCGAACCGCATACTTACGGCCGCCCACTGTTGCAAGGGACTGAATGCGATGCGCATGTCCGTTGTTGCCGGCATACGCAATCTGGACGATCGAGGCGGATCACGCTCTCGTGTGCTCTCCTATGACATACATCCCGACTACAGGGAGCTAGTGACCAGCGACATTGCAGTGCTCAGCATTGAACCGCCTTTAGTGTATAACAATGTCAGCGTGGCGCCCATTGAGTTTGCCTCGAAAGAGTTTGTGGGCGGCGGCGAGCCAGTTACCCTGACAGGTTGGGGCTTGCGTTTGCCGGTCGCCTTTCCATTCCTAGAGAGCGTCAACTATCCAAATACGCTGCAGCGCATGAGCTACAGTACGCTTACGAATCAGGAGTGTCGAGATATGGGCATGACAGATGTTTCAGACACCGAGATTTGTGCCAGAGGAGTCTTCAGGGGCGCCTGTTCGGTAAGCAACTGCAGAGAAGGGGGTTGAAGCTATATTAAGATGAAAGTCCCACACACAGGGTGACTCCGGTGGTCCACTGGTCCGCAACGATAACGGCTTGAAGCAGGTTGGAGTGGTGTCCTATGGATTGGTCGTGTGCGGACTCTTCATATCGCCCGATGTCTACACAAGAGTATCTACCTTCAGCAACTGGCTTCAGGATCGCATAAAGTAGACCAGGCCACGTCCAATCGGTTTTTTAAATGTCTTTATTATTTATTTATATGTGGATAACGACTTTAATAAACAATTATATAATTACAAATTTTTGCTGAATTTGAACCAGCGACCTCTCAGAAATTTTGACAACCATTTATTCCGACTTATAGGTTGTTGTCTTAGACCCAAATTGAAGATTCTGTAAGAATAAACTATATATATGATAAAATCAGATCAGTTCGTCTGTGCAACCTTCTTTAATCGTTCTGGATGTTCCGACGGCTATCCTCAAGACATTTTAAATACATACAATTACACGTTGAACTAATTTACAAGCTAAAGATCACAAATCCTTAAAGGCCAAGGGAAGCAAAAAGAATCATGCGGTTAAAAAAAGGAAACATTCAAAAAAAAAAAAAAAAAATCCTATTCAGCTCCTTCGGCTGGTGGTACTTCCTCTGCAGCTGGTTCTTCAGCTGGTGCTGGTGGTGGCGCCTCTTCAGCTGGCGGTGGTGCGGCGGTTTCCTCAGCTGGTGGTGCTGCTTCAGCTGCAGCTGGTTCCGCTGTAGGTTCTTCGGCCCTGGGCACTTCCGGTTCCGGTTCAGGTTCAGGCTCTTGGGCAGCTTGGGCAGCGGGCACTTCCTCGGCAGCAGGTGCAGGTGGAGCCTCCTCAGCTGGAGCCTCCTCTGCAGCGGGCTTCAATTTAGCTTCGGAGGGAGCTGCTGTAGGAGCTGCCGTAGGAGCAGCTGTGCCAGCGGCTGTGCCAGCGGCTGTGCCACCGGCTGTGCCAGCGGCTGTGCCAGCGGCTGTGGCGGGAGCTGTCCCAGCAGCTGTGGCTTCTGTAGCAATCGGTGAGCCTGCATCCTTGGAGGAAGGAGTTTCGTTTTCCTGACAAGGATCCTCGATCTAATAGGATAGTTTGGAGGTCAAAAACAGGACAGAGTATGGCATCTACAAGACTTACCGGCTTTATGGGCTGGCGCTGTAGGGCAAAGTCGAGGGTATTAGCTGATATCCATTAAAATTAAAAATGAAAGCGACAACCCACCGATAGAACCCAGCGGAAGAAGCGCTGCAAAATGCGTGCAGCTTTGTCCATGCGCATGTACTCATCGTCATCCTTCTCGTCGAGCATGCAGGTGCACACACAGATATGCTGCGCCATCATGCGACGCACCAGATACCCGCGAAAGGCGGCCTGTATGGTGATGGCCGCCTGGCTGCGCATCAGCTCCTCGATGCGTTTTAGCTCGCGATCGCGGAAGTATTGATAGAGTATCTCGGTGCCCTGGGAGTCCTTGCCCGCGGCCATGTACGCATCCACGAATCGCTTGTAGGCGCTCTCAATGGCTGGTCGTGAGGCGTCCAGCTCTGTCTCGGAGAAATGGCATTTTCTGATCAGCTCCTCGAGCATGTCAATGTCGGCAAATTTAATCGTCTCCTTGCCGCGGCGCATCTCACAGCGACGCTTCTCTAGGAAATTGCGGAAACAATCCTCCATCACCTGGGCCATCTCATCCGATTTCTCCTTGGACAAATCGCACACACACAAATCGGATATAATGCTGTCCACCTGGCGCAGAGCGCGATCCAATATGCTTTTAGCCACTGCGAAAAATGTTTGTTAAAAAATATATATTCAAGAAGTCCGTTCATTCTGATTAACTGTCGGTGATCGACAGCCCGAACCGGAATACTGTCGAACCTTTTTTGTCTACCATGCCTCATTCGAGAGGTATTTCACAGTATTCACCAAATCCACCTGTTTTTTTTAGTGGAAACGACAGTCTAAGATGTGGAAAGTAAAGTTACTGGTTCGAACTCATTTCCAATGACCTTTAGGTTTTGTTCTAGCGTGTGCCTTAGCGATTTTGGGCGCCTTGGCGCCTTTTTTAAACTCAAATTGAAATTATATCTAACATATATATATATATATATATATATATAAATCTAAGACGCGCGAGTTCAAGGTAGTGAGTAGATTTAAATTTTCCACGATCAAAAAATAGGGCAAGATCGGGAAATACGAGGTAGTCTGCGACATATACATTATTTACGTAGAATATAGCTCACCCAGGGCCTTTTCGCGCGTGACAATCACCGAGTGCAAATAGTCAATGATGAACTGGCAGAGACACTCCTTGGTCGGCTGGCAGCGCAGGACCTCGCGTGTTATGTCGGAGAGCAGCTCCGGCAGACCCTCGGGCACGTTGATGGCCTGCTGGCGCACCTTGCCGCGCTGTATGAGATAATTCATGTTGGTATTTTTGTAAAGTTTTGCTTTGGAAACGTTTTAAAAGAAACCAGTTAAAATAATTTTGAACCTATTTGTTGCAGCAGCTGTGTTCAAATCTCTAGATTGCCTTTAATTTAAATATATATACACATTTACGAGCTATTGAGTTAGAATAGAAGTCCTACTGGGATAATTCATATTTATACTCAACACGACTACTTTGGTTGGGCGTGCTCGACAGTCAGATAATCTGAACCTGGAGCAGAGCTGACGATACAAATCTTACACACTTCCTTCTATACATTCATATGCTTCTTCTTTAACTGTCCCACACACTATGTATGGCAATTATTTATTAACTTCGGTGTTTATAGTCCGATCTGAATGAAATTTTGTTGGGCTTAAATATGCCACACAAAAGCGTGTACATACCAAAGCGCTAGGCTATTCTCATTGAGAGTGATTTTGGATTTGAAAATCGATTTTGTTTCTTTTAATTATCCATGAAAATAGTTTATGGAATAGCCACAGCTGTAAACATTTCCTTTGCAAAAGTGGGTGTGTTGGATTTCGCATATCGTATGTCATTTAATCGCGTTTTAATTTGCATTGCAAAGTTTGTCGTCAGGTGCGAACAGTTTCCGTGAAGCGTTGAACCGCTTTCCATTTCGGGCAGCTGAACTTTCTACCTAGCACAGCACTTTTACATGTCATGCTGTGCACGACTAGCCAGATACCCTAGGCTGAGAGCGGCGTCTATATGGTGGTGGCTAGTGAGTGGCGTATACCCCATAGAGTACTTGGCGCTTGCGGCATGAAAAGCTCAACACAAAGAAGTAATCAAATATGCAAACTTGAATCTACTTGAAGTAGGCGCAGTGTATATTAATCAGGACAGTGGCGCCTTAAAAAGGGTTTTAATCTGTTTGACATTATATTTAGCAAGGTACCAAAAAATGGGGTTTCCTAATAGAAAAACTAGTTAATTTCTTATAGGCCTAATCAGGGCGAAAATATACGTTGCTACTGCTTGCCGATAAAACAGGATTGTTTAAAGGAATTACATGTCAATTGTTTATTTTGAACTAACGGTTATATTCTCCCACTTTATTCCGATAAGGACAACAGCTTACCACTGCTTTACCAAGATCTAACGAGATATTCATGCAACTACCAAATATTTGGAAATCTCGTTAGTTTCTTATAAGCCTAATCAGGGATACTGTACCAAATTCCAATAAGACATTTGGGCTTCTACTGCTTGCCAATAAAACAAGATCGTTAAAAAGAAACTGCCTTCATTTGCTTATTTATACCTAACCGGTATATTTTCCCAACTAATTACAAAAAGGAGAACAGCTTACCATTGCTTTACCATATCTAACGAGATTTTCACGCAACTGCCAAGTATTAGATCAACTTCTTCTTCTTCTCAGGGCTGTACCTAAGTCTTCAAAGGACTTCAGGAGTGCTGATCCTCACACACGTGCAACAAACTGCTTGCTGCCTGCTTCAGAGCCCCTGGCGCACACCCAAAACGCCGCCTCTGGCTGCACGCGCCAGCTTCAACTGATGTCAGAGCTTTTTGCAATGCATATAAAAGCTTTTATGGATCGCTGATTCTTTACGATTGCTCGAAGGCTTTCAGTGTGTGACGAATTGTTGCTCGAAGCGGACGGCGTCAAAAGCTTTGTTCGCATTCCATACGCAACGCAGCTGAAGCTTGGACACAATGCAAAAGCTCTGTAGAAGCGCATGGGCGCTTGGTAATAGATAAAGAAACTAATAACAATAACAAAAATATTAGTTGAAGCTTTGCGGCTTTGTAGGTCAACGCACTGGCAACGGCTTCGGCGGCAGAGGCATCGCCTCCCTGGCGGCGCTCTCGGAAACGCATCAAATGCTGCAAAAGACCTGCCGCGATTTCGCTAATGCGGAGCTGGCGCCGCACGCGAGACGCCACGATCGCGAGGAGCTGCATCCGGCGGAACAGGTGCGCCGCCTGGGCGAGCTGGGGCTAATGTCGGTCGCTGTGCGGGAGGAGTACGGTGAGCACGTGGTCCAGAGATTGTGCAGAGCCTGAACGACGACTACTTGCAGGTGGCGCCGGGCTGGATTATCTGGCCTACGCCATAGGCATGGAGGAGGTGGCGCGCGGCGATGGCGCCGTGTCTATTGTAATGGGCGTGAACAATCTGTATCTAGGCGCAGTGCAGCAGCATGGCACGGAGGCGCAGAAGCAACAGTTTCTGGTGCCCTACACCCAGGGCCACCACATAGCCTTCTATGCGCTCTCGGAGCCGGGCAGCGGTTCAGATGCCAGCGCCGCCAGCACCACAGCGAAATTTAATGCCAACGGGGATTACCTGCTCAGCGGCACCAAAGCCTGGATATCCAACTCGAAGGAGGCCAGCGGCGGACTTATTTTTGCCACCATTGACAAATCCCTGAAGCACAAAGGTATTACAGCTTTTCTGACGGAGAAGGATGTGCCCGGCCTGTCCGTAGGCAAGAAGGAGAGCAAGCTGGGCATGCGGGCCAGCTCCACGTGCCAGCTGACGCTCGATGATGTGTGCGTACCGCAATCCCATGTGCTCGGAACGCCCGGCGGAGGCTTCAAGATCGCCATGGAATCCCTCGACTGCGGTCGCATAGGCATTGCCGCACAGTCCACGGGCATTGCGCAGGCGGCTCTCGAGTTGGCCGTCGACTATGCGGAGAAGCGTGTAGCCTTTGGGCAGCGGCTGTCGCGATTGCAAATGATTCAGCAGAAACTGGCGGACATGGCGCTACGCGTTGAGACCGCTCGGTTGCTCACTTGGCGCGCCGCTTGGCTTAAGGACCATGGACTGCCAATCACCAAGGAGGCAGCCATGGCCAAGCTGCACGCTTCCGAAACGGCCACCTACTGTGCGCATCAGTGCATCCAAATCCTGGGCGGCATGGGCTATACAACAGATCTGCCCGCTGAGCTCTACTATAGAAATGCCCGCGTCACGGAAATCTACGAGGGCACCTCCGAAATTCAGCGCATTGTGATTGCTAATTGTGTAATGCAAAGCATTTACAATTAGTTAAAATAAACAAATAAGAAATTAGCAATTGAGTCGAGCTTCTATCGCCATCTGCACTTTAAGTTGGCGGGCGATAAGTTATATAATCGATTTATATAGAACTGCCATGAATAATCATTAAACGGCTAATATACACGAAATCCACGAAGGCTTCTCAGAAAAACAGTGTATTGGCATTGCCAATTACTTATTGCAGAGCAGTTACAATTTTTTTAAATACATTAATAATAGTAAACAAAAAAATTGTGCATTAAGAGCGATATGCTTTTAAAAACTGAGGGCGATGACTGAAAAAATCGCGCAACCGCCACAAATAATCGTGTGTCAAACAGCTGTCAGCAGCTATTCTTATCGATAGTATTGTACCAAGCAGCCTATCGGCCGACCACCTCATTTGATGACATGCACAATAGTTGTTATCGTAGTTAACGAGTTGAGAAGCCGAAAAGAATTTTATAATTGGTGCATAATAAGAATAAATGAGCGCCGATTTACTGCAATTAGATGTGGACACGCTGTTCGAACAGCACGGCGTGTCCGAGATCGATGCTGTGCAGAAGAAAATCCAAACGGTGGTGGAAAACAAACGCGAAGAGTTGCGCACGATGGTCGGGTAAGTCTTGGGACCATATCGTGATGTGGCATTTTTGGCCAGCCAGCGCAATATAACTAATTGCGGCTTTATCTCAGCGAACGCTATCGGGACTTGCTTAAAGCAGCCGACACCATAGCAGCCATGCAAACATCGGCCGGCACGCTCATCGAGCAGGTGCACTGCGTCCAGAGCAACTGTCGCAGCCTGAACGAACAACAGTTGCTGGGCTTTCAGACCACGCCCACAGCCGCTGAGGTGCAGCTGCAGCAGCGGACCGCCAACAAACAGCTGAGCAACTATTACAGCACCATGGTGCAGATCAAGCTGCTGAGCAGCCTGCCGGAGCTCATCTGGACGCACATTGATCGGGAACAGTTCTATGCAGCTACCGAGCTCTTCATATTCAGTCGGCACATTAGCACCGGGCTCCAGCTGGACGCGAAAAATGCGCTGATGCAACGGCTTCCCGTCGCCCTGAAGCAATGGGAAATCCTGCGTCCGTTTCATGTGACCATCAAGCAGTCGGTGCTCGCAGTGCTGGAGCGGGAACAGCTCAGCGCTGAGATGGCCGTCGATTGCATGCTGAGCCTGCTGCTGCTGGACAAATGCGATTTGGGTCAGGTGCTGCAAACCTTTCTGCAGCTGCGTGCCACGGCATACGTGAACTGCCTGCAGAGCCAAAGCAGCGATGCGGACAAGGATAAGCCGAGGCGTGTCAAGGAGCGCATTCTGGCCAGTTTGCATATACTCAACGGCACCATTGAGCTCCTTGACACCTGTCTGCTAGGTGAGCGGCGGAAACTAGATGTATGTCTTTTAACTGACATCGATTGATGAACTGATTGAATGTTTGACAGACAGACACAGTCCAAACCGTAGAACTAGATTAATTTAGCCGGCATTGACTCGATTGATTGCCTGACAGATTGATTGACTAATTGAATGAATCTTCTACGTTTTGATAACAGCCCATTTCCATTTGGTTTTCACTAGATGTCTTCTAAAATCAATTTCAAAGATCCTTGTAAAAGTATATTATTGACTTAAGAATCAAGTTTGTTAAATTGAAAGCATAATTAATAACATATTTCTCTCATTTTAGCCAATGGCCTGCTCTTTGTGCGCCTGGCGGAGTGCATCGCGCCCACCTCGCCGCCCAGCATCAGCCGCATGGACAGTAGCGAGAGGCAGCTGGCGTATCTGCTGCCCGACATTATAGCCGGCTATAAGCCGCAGTTCGAGACTCCAAAATTGGCGCCGCAGCAGCTGAGCGATGCATTGCGTCAGTGGATGTCGCAGATAGACAGATTGGCAGCCAAGCAGTTGCAGCAAATCTTCGCGCTAGTCGGCAACATGCAGACCATACAGGACATCAAGCTGGCAGCAGGCGCGACGGCCAGTCGCAGCTATGCCGAGCTCGAGCAGCAGCTGAAGCTGCCGCAGGCTCAATTAGATTTCTACCGGATCAAATACATGCCGCTTATTAATGCGCGTGTGCGTGAGATCATACGCAGCAGCTGGTCGGCGGCATTGCAGCAAACCTACGAGCAGGTGGTTAAGCTGGTGGAGAACAGCACGCCGCCAGCACCGCTGCAGATCTGGCGCGAGCAGAGCGACGACCTGCCGCTGAGTCTGGCTGCGGCGCTCAGCGATCAGCCTAAGCGTTTGGCGAATCGCACCAAGGGCTACGAAACGGCGACCATAGCGCTGTGCGGCCACTTCGATGCCCAGCTGGCTGCCATAGTGCAGGAGCTGAATGTGCTGCTCCAGGAGCAAACAACTCGAGCCGAGGACAAATTGGCGCTGATCAAATTCCTACGCGAAACGGCACAGCAACAGATGACGGAATATTTGCGCCAGCTGAAGGCGCTGCGTCTGCAGGAGCGTCATGCTCTGCTGCAAGCGCTGCGCAATACACTCGCCCTGATCGAGTTGTGCCCCCATCTGAAGCTCTGCTTCTGCCAGCCCAGCAGCTGGCGTCAATGGGCGGGCAATCTGACAGCTGGCGGTGTCGAACAGTGGCAGCGGCTGTGTGCCCAGTTCGAGGAGGAGTTGCTGCAGCTGTGGCTGCACATTGTCGATGACATTTTGGCCAGGCACAACTGCGCAGAGAAGCTGCCCCATCCCATTACACACGATGTAGTATTGCGAGATTTTGCTGTAAGTTTTTGAAGTTACCCCAAGTTCCTGTTGCGGCCAGCTAACCCACCTTCCATTCCCGTGCAGCTCTGGCAAACGCAGACGCTGGAGCAGCGCGATGAGGAGCACGACCAGAATGTGCAGTCCACCATACGCATACCCAGCCAGCCACGCCTTTCACTGCAAACGTATTTGCACGGGTTGATTCAAGCCCTTAACGATGCTGTGCCCCAAACGTTGCCTCCTAAGGTGCTGCATGCCTTCAATCAGCAGCTGCTCACCCAACTCCTGGCCCACTACGAACAGCTGGCCGCGGCGGAGGGCACGCGTTGCAGCCAGAACATTGCGCTGCAGCTGTACTTTGATCTCAAGTTTCTGGAGAGTGTGTTCGGCGTGACTCGCGAGGAGCGCAGCCTCTATGAACAGTTCCATGCGCTGCAGCGCAGCCTGCGCGACTGCATCGATCCATTTGACTTTGAGCTGTTCGCTGAGCATATTACAGTTCAGGTATCACGCTCCACGACGCGTCTGCATGGCGAGTTGGGCGTCCTGACGCCGTCGCAGGATAACACGCAGGCGGCCAGTGGCAGCGCTCTGTCGCATGAAGCTGACCCGAATGTGCTTTGTTTAAGCTCCACTGGCTCCACGTCGCTATGGTTTCCCCTATTGCCCATTGTTATGCCGCAAGCGGCGGCAGCAACAGCAGCTGTTCAGGCTGAGCGCAAATCCCTTGCCTCAGCGCCGGATAAGGTAAGTTTTTTGATTTTTAATGATAATATTTTACCTCGCTGTTAAAATATGGAATATAGCACATGCAAAGTCCTCGACCCATGTGAATTTTAAAGAATTACACGAGAACTTGGATTTGTATCTTGATTATACCCTTGCAGAGGGAAGACGAAATTTGAAGACGAAATTATATATAGCTATATCGCGGCTCGTTTCAACCGCGTCTTTATAGACATATCTGAGTCTGTCGGTCCGCCTAGTTCTCAGCTGTTTTATAAACTGCCATTTTTCAGTATTTTTCTTTAATTTGGGACTACTATATACATCACATACTACAATAAATAACACTGCGTTACCTGGGTAGAATAAAGATTGTTGAAAATAGGAGGTCGAATTTTGTACTCGAGTCAAGAGAAAACTTCAGTATAGGCACAGATAACCTACATCTGCTATAGGTTTGCAAGGGTATACATTCTTCGACACGTCGAAGATAACTCTTCTTGTTTTTTGTCCCTAACTTATCGTAATGGTATATACATTTTTATATATATATTTCTTTATAGGCGCTCTTTGAATTGTAATTTTCTTTCTAAAATGTATCATCATATATTGTTTTTGGGTAGGCATTGTGTACGCAAGATATGTTTAAAATGTTGCATGATTGTTATTTATTATTGGGGTTTTATATATTTAGATAGATTAAAAATGAATTTGTTATATGTCGGCTTACTGCTTATTTATCGTTCGTCAGCTGTAGCATTTTTTGCTTGAATTTTTACGTTATAAATAATATTTGATTTTTATAAAGCCTCAATTTGGTATTCCTACTAAAACTTCATGATTTTAAATCTTCATTTTATTTTATATTTATGTTGTGAACAGTAATTTTTCAAATTGCGGCTAACTGAAATGTGAACAGTTGCGAGTCTGCTTGTACTGCTTTGCTGTATGTTAAATGTGTTAAAAGTAACTGCTTGTTTGCACTGCTTTGTATTTCCTACGTTTCCGTTGTAGATTAGCCAAAACATAACCCAGCTGTTGTATTTGTTGGCATTTTACTTACCTTTAGTTTATTTTTATGCTTAGTCCTTTTTATTATTTTTGGCTATTCTAAAACACAAATAATTTCATTTCATTTTGAAAAATGTTTTATAATTATACTGGACTTTCATTAGCATGCATTTGATTAGCTGCGTAAATGCATCTTTAAGCTGAAGAGCGTTTCACAAATTTGCGCAATTAACAATAAATAAACCAAAACTGCCGTAAAATAAATTATAATTAGCTGCAGTAGCAGCAGCAGCAGTTGCCACTTATAAATGCTGGGCGAAAGTTTTACCAGTTACCAAAAAACAGGAACCGAAACAGAAACCAAAAAACTTGCAACTAGGCAGATGCCGTACACTTCTCCCTCTGCTGCGGGTGTGTGAGCGTGAGTGTGTGTGTGAGTTCGTGAGAGTGTACCTTCAAGGCTAATTAATGAATTGGTCCATTATTGAAATCAAATCGTTAGGCAAATGTTAATTTATAGCCGCTGACTTTGTTGTTTATTTGCACACATTTAGTCGCATGTTTCAGCAAATAAATTGAACTCTAATTATGTTTGCTTCCATGTTTATTGCTTTGCCCCATAAATCTGTGCACCGTGTGCGCCGTAAATGAATAGATTAATCACAAAAATTACGCACTTCATTAATAACACATATATCTTTCGAAATGCTTCAGGGGACGACGACACCAACGCGTAAGCCGCTCGGGCGCAAAAGCGATGCCAGCGCCAGCGCCAGCACTAATAGCAGCATCAACAACAACAAATCCAAGTCAAGCGCCGCCACATTCTTTGGCATGTCCCAGGAGTGGTTCCGCTAGGAATGGGTATGCCATCGATGCCAACAGCCACTGGTCGCCACAGCTGAGATGCGTCTAATGAAGTGGCCAAGTGAAGAGCACGAAACGCGCTCAGCCAAGCGGAAGGCCGTGCAGCAGCTGCCACTGCACTCAGCTGTGTGTGTGTATGTGTGCGTGTGCGTGAGTGTGTTGTAATTGTGCATTCCGAGCGCTAAACTTTAAATGCAAACAATTTGCAATATGCAGCCAAATAACGTAATTTAACTACAGTCGGCTATTAAAAACTCTCGCGTTTAATATCTCGTTTTAAACTTAAAAAATATAGTTGCATACATATTTATTCTAATATTTAATTTAATGCGCTTTCCTGGCAATGTGATGTCCTATTTTTTGCCGCCCTTCTTGCCGCCGCCGCCTGCCTTGGGCTCTGGCCCCTTCTTGGCGCCAGCTTTGTCTGCGGCCGGAGCAGCTGCTTTGTTTTTGCCACCACCACCTGCTGCGCCGCCTCCACCACCACCACTTTTTTTCTGTTACCAGGAATCATAAAAAAGGATTACACAAAAGTGATAAAAGTGCAAATAATAATAAAGATTTATAAAGAAAAAGCAATGGCAACAGGTAAGTACATAAATTGTGCTATTCTTCATGGACTTGGCGTGTGTCTCAAGAGAGCTGCGCTTATTATCTTGCTAAGCTTTTTGAAACTCTGGAATCATCGAGTTTAAAATGTTAATTAGATTGTATTCTAATTAGCATATTAAATCTAAGGCAAAGTAGTGCATAGTCCTTATAACATTCTTATAAAATGCATCCAAACCTTTATGCATTTTATTCTAAATTTATTAAACATATATTTCTATTTCTGTATCTTAGAGAGCTTATCAAAGAGGTAGAGAACTTTACCAAATTTGAATTTATGTTAATTTAAAATACCGTTTGGACTAAACATCAATTGTTCTTATTCTGATCACTTGGTTTTTTGTCTGTCTACAAATCTAACTGGCAGTTAATCTCTCCGACTATTAGTCCGTCCGAATAGTTCTCTATCTGGCTGCTCGTCTATCTGTCTATTCCGCTGTTTGTCTATTCCGTCTGACAGCTCCTGCTGTCTGACTTTTATAAATACATATCGATTAAAAATAAATTTAATTTAAATAAAAATAATGGATACTTTATCTTCTATAAATAACTCTACACTAAGTTTACAGATATTTTCTAAAAATGTCTTAATATTAGTAAAGTATCCTCAATATTGTTTGTGTCTAGAATATGTTTATTCATAGATATTCGTAAAGTATCCTCTATAAATAAGTATAGAATAAGCTTATTTATAGGTGATTTAAAAAATTATTAAGAAAACTTTTTCTAACTAATTTGCTGTACATTTTAATGGGCTCATTCTCTATACGTACATATATATCAATATAGTCGGAGGTTTTCATGGTTAGTCTATATCAGAATGAGTATTTAACTAATTTTAATGATGATATCTTTAGACTCACAATTAAAACGCGAGTTGCATAACACAAATATTGCTTACATTGCCGCCGCCGCCGCCTCCTCCTCCTCCTCCTCCTCCTCCACCGCCTCCACCGCCGCCGCCTTTATTTTTACCCATATTCGCAACTTTCCTTGTGTTAAATTATTTAATTTGTTCGACTTGTTGGCGAACAACTTTTACCGCAAGCAAATTGCAACTAATAAACGCTCGACGTAAAGAACAAAATGCAAAATGCATAAATAATTTCGCAAGCAAGGGAAAAACGAAATAAACCATGATACCAAAACAAAATGCAAAAGTACAAAACGAAAAGAAAAGAAAAAAAGAACCAAGAGAAATGCGAATCATTGAAAAGTGAGGGCTGTGCGGGCTTGGGGGCAGCACTTGGCGAGCAGCCGCCTCTCGACCTCCGACGGACGCCAACAGCTCTCTTAACTGATTTAGTTATTGGCCCCATTGCCACCCATGCCCCGCGCCCCATTCGTTATTCGCCCCGCGTCCCTTTCCTCAGCCACAATCGCCCCCGGACCATTGGCTGTATTTGTGTTTGCTCTCGGCGAACGAGTGGATTATTTTGTAGTTCTTTCTACTTGACATTTTGTGTTTCGGCATTTCCCCTCTGGCCCACTCTGATGCCCCAGCCCGATGGCATTGACATTGTCTCTTCCTCATGTCGGCTCTCACCTTGGGGGCCTAATAAAAATGCATCGCAGGTTTTGCAAGCACTGGCGGCAACAACAAGCGCTGCGTCGTCTGGCAGAGAACTTATTCGTAAATTGGGGTTTATGCTGCGTATACTCGATGTTATGAAAAGCAAGAGAAATAATCCGACTTGTATTTGAATTATAATAAGAATTCATACATTTACTATATTATTATAATAATCAATTAATTTATCCGTTAATCTTCTAGGCGTGGTAGCATTTTAATTTGAAAGAATAAGCTATTGTAAATTCTTCTGAATCTAAAAACTAGATCTAAGCTAAATCAATTTTCATGAAGTTTAATATTTTAAGCATATTTAGTACTCACTATATTTCTGCAGCTGAACTTCCTTTTTAATTGGAAACTGAATTTGATATTTTTATTTAAAAAAATCTACATTCTTAATTATATATATATGATCCCTTCTTAATCACATTTCATAGCAAAAATTACAAAATTGTTGACTTTTGAAGTTCGCAAATCCAAAGCCTTTTTTCACAGGCTTCAATCTTCCATAATCATACGTTTTTTTTTTATGTTATTCTTTTTTACTTGATTTGCTTTTCTCAAAATATTTCGTTTGTAATTTTTGAACATTCCCTTAATTGCTTTAAATATGCCCTGAATAACAATTTGCTTAGCCATCTGCATAAATGCTGCCTCTAGTTGACTTTGTGAGATATTCCTTGGCTTGAAATCTGTAAAGGTCCTGTTCACAGAAGCAGCTCGCATGTACGAGTAATTCAATTAAATTTACATGCATGTGCACAAACAGATGCAGCATGTTTAGGAGGGGGGTAGGGGGACCAAAGCTGGCCAATTTAATAAATTTTCCACGTGCCTGATTGCCCAGGAAACCCAACAGGTCCATTCAAAAGGACAAAATGCTGTGAAGATAGTCGGATTTCTTCATATGCTAATTATATGTGAGTTATCAAGTTGCTCTGTCGTTGATGCCAGCTCCTGAGATGGGATTGGCTATGCCAAAACTCAATGCATAGCTAATGAACAAGTAAAACGTTCTGTTCCTCTGTGTTCTCTGGCTGGTTGGCTAATTAAATGCGATGTTTTAGCCGGTCAGCTGCTAAGTGAAACTGATCTGCGGCATGTGGCGAGAACTGTGCCAACTAATGGCCCCAAATGTTCAAAAACCACCTCAGTAGCTGACCAAAGGGGAATTTCACTTGACATAAAACTGTAGTCGACTCGCCGTGTACTTTGTTAATTCAACAAGTTGAAATCTGTTCATGGCTTATAAGCAATGAACATAAAACCAAATTAGAACTGAAAAGTATTAAATAAGCTCATAAAATTACACACACATGACTATGGCAGCAGTCCGAGAGGAGGGGGAGGGGGGGGGGTTGTGGCGGTGTGGGGGTGTGGGGTGTGCCAACTAAAGCGTATGCCAAGCATGGAAACAAAGTCGCAATATTCGACCATTTGCAGCAGGTGCATCTGCAAGATAAACCCAGCTCAAAGCTACCCACTCACCCAAAAACGTAAAAAAAATAAACAAGACTGCTCTAACCGATTGTGCCCGACTAGTAGATACCCTACATCTAACGCTGAACTAGCTTTCGTCTCTTTCGTTGGTGCTCGTGGTCCGATCATTGTGTAATGTGCAGCTTATCTAAAAAGTGAAATAGTTATAACTTCTATAGACTATACGAGCACCAGCACACAGAAAGTTTGGCATATCTTATAGATATGTTGGATAAATTAGTTCCTTATTCGATATTATAAAAATGAGGGAAGATCAAACAAAAATAAAGTATTATATTTAAAATATCACGTCTCTAGACTTTGTAGTTTCTTAAATCAGCCTGTTCAGAAAAATATAAGCTTTATACGGTCGGAATTGGTTACATACATTTTCACAAAAACATTATACCCTTTTTGAGCATTTTCACTGGGTACAGCGTACAGTAAAAAATAAGAAACCTAGCTATATAAAATGCCGACAGACAAACTGAGGAAAAGTGGGCGTACCGGGTGGGCGTAACGGGTCTGGCTAAATACATACGGACATAGAAGCAGCAGCGAGAGTGCAGCGTCTGGGCACAGGAAAAGTGCGGAACTTTAATTAAGTTTTGGCTCTCCCAACTGACTGACATCTTGAATTACAAATGAAAAACTTGTGTGCAAACTACAGGAAAACCAAAAAGAAAAAAATAAAATGTAGAAAAAACAAGCTAAATAAAAACCTAAAAAAAAAAACTGGCAGCATAATAACACACCGAGCAAAAGGTGGGACAGCAGCGGACTAGAATGTGAATAGCTTGCATTTGGACAGACAGAGAGAAGGAGGAGAGAGAGAGAGAGACGTAGAGAGAGAGAGGGAGAGCGAGCGACATGGTCAAAGAGCGGAAGAGAGAATACCTGAGCTGATCTCAAACCTAAACAGAATAAAATACACTATAGCCCCGCCCCGGCTAGTTAGCTAATATAAAAGTGCGCGCAGCACAGGAAGCGGCACGGAATGAAGGCTGTGTCGCGGTACACTGTGACAAAATCACGGTAAGAAAGTTTAAGAAAAAACTGTGGATAAAATAAACGTAACAACAGTAGCAGCCAACTGAATAGAACATTTTATATTCATGCCGTAAGGAAATGATTATGCATAAGTGAGCTAACACTACGGTTGTCGACTGTAAAGATACCCTACATGTGGATGCAGAGAAAATGTGTTAAAGGAAGACTGCGTATATATATAGAAAATAGTTAATTTTTTAAACCTCATTTTAAATCATATTAAGCAAATTGCAAGTTTTTTCTAATTTTGTTCTTTAAGTAAACAAAGGGCATATTTTAAATAAACTCTCGACAATAATTTTTTGGTAATCTCAAAACTCTATGTCCCCACCGGATATACCCCACAAATATAGGGTATTTTAAGACGGCTAACTTGTCAAATGAATGTCTGAGAATTGTCGCTGTGCTAAGCCGTTGGAGAGACCGCATTGGAACTTCATCATCAGCGATTTTGCTGGCAGCTGCTGGTGCTGCACTTGCTCCATGTTGCCCAAGCTGCAGCTTGATTTTTACCTCTGCCGATGAACTAGACTGAAAGGCGAAGGGAAAAGCAAAGGGGGAAGGCGAAGGGCGGGTGCAGGCAACCAGGAAACAGATGTTTGCAAATATCTTAAGAAAACTTTTGGCTGAGGCATTTAAATAAAGGTGCGCTCCAACAACTTTTTCGACAGCCGCAAAATTAACAGAGAAAAAAAATGTAAAATCCAGAACGTGGAAAAAAGGAATCATGGAAAAAGTGAGGAAAAAGAAAAGCGAAACCAAAACTATTCAATTGCATCATTGAATTGCCAGATTATTCCATGGCAGAAACTTGACTGTAATGAAAATTCAAAGGATATGCCATGGCTTTTCATCTGACAGCCAAGAGCCGAGCTTTCAATAGCTCTAATGGAACATTATATACTACATAAGTACGATTTCTGTGTGTACTTATGCGTTAAACTATTTGGTTAAGCCGAATATAATTGTGAATGATTTCTGAATGAACATTTATAAATGCGAGTGAATATATTTCGCATCAGCTGCAATACCTCTATATTATCTCCCAATTATATTTAATATTAAAGATTAAAGTCGAATAATATAAATATACAAGCGGGTATAGCCCGGAATTGCCCGTGGCATTCGTAAAATAAATGTTTTTAAAAAGCTTTGAAAAAAAGCACTTTCATACACACATTTTCCGCCAATTTACCACTGTTGCGGTTGAAATTTTCCAAATCGTTAAAACACGTACTCATTTAGTTTGTATGTAAAGCTTTAAAAATATTTTTAAGCAAATTGGAAAAAAAATTAAAACATGAAAAAAATATTTGAATTGCATTTTTTACGGAGCATGATTTTATTCTGCAAAAATGTAAAACAAGTCTCAAATGATTTTTCTTATGGATCCTTGGAAATGAATTTAAGCGCGAAACGTCATCTACCAAATCTTTGACACAAATTTCCACCAAGAAGTGATAAATTTACCGAAAAGTGCGAAATACCTCTCAAATGAATTTGAACAAAGAACTTTGAAATTTCGCTTGAGGCCGATCGGAGGGTAAATAAAAAAAGTTTCACACAAACGTTTTTTCCCGTCTTAACGCGCATCTTCATCACATAAGGTTTGGCTGTGCTTACGGTTTGGGCTGTGCGTTGATCACCAGTCAGTCAGGACAATCAGTTTTATACATATAGAGATAAAAATAATTTTGTTTCTTTATTTGATATAAATTATTATTTATTATTCAGCCTTTTTTTTAAATATTAATTATTATTTAGACAGTTCCTTTTGGTATTAAAAATTCTATTATTCAAATATATTATCATTGCTTTTAACATTACTTATATCCATGTTATTATTATTTTTCTATTACTTTATACTATTTTTATACTCTGAACCCATTAAAAATGGGTATAAGGGTATATTGTATTTGTGCAAAATCCAAATGTATGTAACAGGCAGAAGGAAGCATCTCCGACCCCATAAAGTATATA